CCCCTGAGGACTGCCTTCACACAGAGGTATTGGTAAGTTGTAATTTCATTATTATTTGTTTCAAGGAACTTTTTTATTTAATTCTTTATTTCTTTTATAATGCAATCATGTTCTAGCAGAGTGTTATTTAGTTTCCACATGGGTGGTTTTGTAAGCTTTATTCTTCTGTGGTTTTCTAGTTTTTTGGCATTGTGGTCTGACAAAATACTTTGTATTATTTCAATTTTTTTTTAATTTGTTGAGGCTTGATTTGTGTCCTATATATGATCAGTTCTTAGAAATGTACCATGTGCACTTGAGAAGAAAGTGAATTGAGTTTTGGTTGGGTGCACTACTCTGAATGCATCCACAAGGTCAAGTTGGCTGATTGTCTAGTTTAGATCTTCTGTATCTATCCTTTTGTGATAGTGACGTGTTGAAATCTCCTACCACTATTGTGGTGCTGTCTATTTCTCTCTTCAATTTGGTTAACTGTTGTTTTATGTATTTTGCAGGTCTATCATTTGGTGCTTTAATGTTGACCAAGGTTATATCTTCTTGATCTATTGTGCCTTTAATCATTATGTACTGTTCTTTCTTATCTTTGATGGTGGTCTTCATTCTGAAATCTATTTTGTCAGAGATTAGTATTGCCACTCCTGCTTTTTTGAGGTTCCCATTTGCTTGGTATGTTTTTTTATTCCAGCCATTGATTTTTAGTTTTGTCCTTCCATTTTTAGATGTGTCTCTGTCTCTTGCAGGCAACATATTGAAGGGATTTTTTTAATCCATTCTGCTACACTTTTTCTCTTAATAGGCGCATTTAATCCATTCACATTAAGTGTGATTATTGTCAGGCCAAGTTTTCTTTTTTGCCATTTTGCCATGTTTCTTGTTCTCTTGTTTCTGGTTACTGTGGTCCATTAACTTTCCTTTGGTGTCTCCGTGTGTAGGAATTCACTTAAAATTTCTTGTAGTTTTGGTCTTGTTTTCACAACTTCCTTAAGCTCCTTCTTTTCTGCAAAGAATCTACTTTCCCCTTCAAATTTGATAGAGAGCTTTGCTGGATATATGGCAATTGTTATCTTTCAACTTTCTGTATATGGCATCCAATTTCCTTCTAGTTCACATGTTTTCTGTTGAGAAATCAGAACTTAATTCATTTGTTTCCCTTCTGTAGGAAATCTTTGTTTTTCTCATGCTGCTTTTAGAATGCTTTTAATTTGTAGAATTTTACTATGATATGTCTTGATGTTTTTCTTTTTGGATCTTGTCTATTTGGTGTTCTCTGTGCTTCTTGAATGTGGATTTTCCCATTCTTCAAAATACCTGTAAAGTTTTCTTTCTAGTACTCCTTTCATAATCTTCTCAATGATTTCCCTCTCACTCCCGTGTTCTGGAATTCCAGTCATATGTGTGTTATTCCGTTTGATGTCATCCCACATAATTATAATATTTCCATCGTTATGTCTCACCTCTTGAGTTTTCTTCAAGTATGTTTCTAGTGAGGCTCTTGTCTTCCAGCTCACTGACTCTCTGCTCCAATCTCTTGAGTTCTATATTTTTGTCTTACCAGCAGCATGTTGGACACTTCTGCTATTTCGATCTTAATATTCTGGATTACATTTTCATGCTTTTCTGTTGTTTCCAGTACTGTGTTTGGCTGTACCCTCTCTGTCTTGTGATGATTTTTTTTTTATTTCTTGTAACTGTTTGTCTAGTCTATCAATTTCTTTCATCTTTTTGTATTTTCATCCATATCTGTTCAAGTTTCTTCTCATCCGTATATTTCTTCTGGATTCTTGTCTCTGAAATTTTGCTCTCTTATTGACTTCCACTGTTTCTTCCTACATTTGTATCTTTTTCTGTAGCTGATCAACATATTTCTTCTGGGTCTCTCTATCTGGGGTACTCATTGGGTCTGCTTTTTTAGGAGAAGGGCTATTTTGTTTTTTCATAATGGCTGATGTAGATTGCTGCTTTCTTGACATGGGAGTCTTTTCTTAGTAGATATTAGGCTGTTACAAGTATAAAATTACCAAGGGTACAGCAATGTTTTGTGAAGTATCTATATATTTGTGTTCCCTTCTTTCAGGCCTCAGGCCTGACAGCAGCTTTCCCCCCAACATACCTGAATGACAAAGAAGGGAGCCTTTGTTCCCTTCTGGAAGGTGCCTGGGACCTCCATGTTGCTTGAGCTAAGGGGTCCTGTGCAGTCAAGCTAGAAAGCAGTTTTTTCCCAAAGTACCTGAATAACAAAGGAGGAAGCCTTTTGTTCCCTTCTAGAAGAGGCTTCTCACCTCTGTCAAGGTACCCAGGACCTTCCTGTTGCTTGAGTTAAGGTCCTGCATGATCAAGGTAGACAGCTGTTTTCCCCCCTAATAACTGTGGGAGTAGAGCTGGCAGCACAGTCCCCCTTCCTGCCGCACAGGCCCCCTTCCTGCCGCACCATCCCACTTCCTGCCGCACAGTCCTCTAGTTGTTCTCTGGTAATGTACTGTTCCAGCCATTTTTGAATAGTCTTCAGTAGGATTTTACTTGTGTGTGATGTTAGTGATATTGTTTGATAGTTTCCACACTCTGTCAGATCATCTTTTTTTTTGAGGGGGAGGAATAGGAATAAGTATGGATCTCTCTTGAAGTCAGTTGGCAAAGTAGCTGTCTTCCAGATTTCTGGGCACAACTTGGTGAGTACATCCAGGGCAGTATCTGTTTGTTGAAATATGTCAATTGGTATTCCATTAATTCCTGGGACTTTGTATTTGCCAATTCCTTTAGAGCTTCCTTTAGAGCAGCTTGAACTTCCTCCATCATCATCACTGCATCTTGATCATATATTGTTTCTTTAATTTCTGTGTCAGTCAATTCTTTTTGGTACAGTGACTCTGTATAATTCCTTCCATCTTCTTTTAATGCTTCCTGGATTATTTAATATTCTGCCCATAGCATCCTTAAGTATTGCAATGTGCAGCTTGAATTTGTTCTTCAATTCCTTCAGTTTAAAAAATGGCAAGCAAGTTCAGCCCTTTTGCTTTCCTGACTCCAGCTCTTTGCACATTTCATTATAATAATTTGTTTTGTCTTCCCACGCTGCTTTCCAGAATCTTTGTTCAGCTCTTTAACTTCTTGATTTCTTCCTTTTGCTTTGGATTCTCAGCACTGCAATGCAATATTCAGAGTCTCTTCTGACATCCATCTCTGTCTTTTCTTCCCCCTCTGTCTTTGTAATGACCTTTTGCATTCTTCATTGACAATACTCTTGATATCCTCCCAAAGCTCATCAGGTCTTCATTCATTAGTGTTAAAGGCCTCAAACCTGTCTGAGATGGTTTGAAATTCAGATGGGATAGACTCAAGGACAAATATTGGTTACTGTGAATTTTGATTTAACCTTTTTTTCTAGCTTTAATTTAACTTGCATATGACTACTTGATGGTCTGTTCCACAATCAGCACCTGGCCTAGTTTTCACAGCTGATATTGAGCTTATCCAACAATTCTTAACACAGATGTAATCAGTCTGACTCCTGTGCATACCATTAGGAGAAATAATACAATTTTTAAAAATTTTAATTTTGGATTTAGAGCCGTACATCTTGTTTTTCTTGTTGTTGTTAGGTGTCATCGAGTATGGCTTATAGTGACCCTGTCAACAACAGATTTGAACCCTGTTCTTTCCTGTGCCATTCTTACAGTCTCCGACACACTTGAGCTATTGCTGTAGTCACTGTGTCAGTCCACTTGGTTGAGGGTCTTCCTTTCTTGCGCTGTCCTCTACCTTCCCAAGCATGATGTCTCTCTCCAGTGAATAGCCTCTCCCAGCAACATGCCCAACATATTTGAGACAAGTTATGCATACAAACTGCTTATTCAAAAATATAAGCAAATAGCTCAGAGAACCCATGCTTTCTAATGATTTTTCTCTGATCATACCTCTTTGCTCACATTATTAAAAATAATTTACTTTTTAAAAAAATGTATGTTAAGCAAGTGGTATGTATGCTTCTGTTGTTGTTTTTCTTTTTCTTTTACACTGGTTTTCCTAAAAAATTTGTGTGCATTGTTTTTAACACCGAATCTTTCCCTTTTCCTTTTTTTAAAAAAAAATACCCAAGGGAAGATGATAAAAAAAGCAGTATCTTTTTCATTTATTAGCTTTAACCTCCCTCCAAGCAGCCCCTGCTCCTGGTTCCTTATTGGGTCTTTTCAGTCTTTCTTTCCACTCCAAGGCACTGACTGCTGCTATGTCTGTCCTACCAAAACTATGCCTGAAAACAAGAACCTAATTTTAGCAGTCAAGCTTTTGGTGAATATTTTGGAAACATCATATTTCAACCCAAATTATAGTCTACAGAGCCCTTCATCTCTGTGGCTGTTACACTCCCATCCTAATCACAGTTCACCACTTAGTAGTTAAATGTCCAAATTTTTCTGTGGTTTTGAAATTGCATTTTCATTTGTTCATAAGGAGTTCTGAATATATGGTGTCTCCTAACAGTGGATGCTTCTTCTGCACCTGTACCTGCCTAAAATGCCTGTCACCTGGGGTGGGAAGGTGCTGGGGGAAAATCAGGGTGGCTGAGAGCGCTGGTATTCCAGAAGTCTTAGCTCCAAGGACTCAGGGCTGTGTTGTCACTTTCAAGGTCTTTGTCTGCCAATTCTGACCAATCAGGAGAGCGTCAGAGGTCTAGGCCCTGGCCTAGGGAAGCTAGTAGAGGATGATGCAGGCATAGGGCTGGCCCTTTGACTGCAGAAAATGACATGAAGGAGCCTCTGAGTCGCACCCAGAACCATAAAACCTAGGGTTTGGCCTGGTGAGCAGCAGGACCACACGCCAGGCCTGTAATGATGACACACTCGATTTATGGTCTGCTAGCAAGAATGATCCATTGCTTTGTGATCTGTGGATGCCAAGAGATCCCAACACATGAGTAGGGAGTAAAGTTGTGGAGAAAGAGCCCCCTGTGGGGGCCTAAGCCAGCAGTGTATTCAGGCCTCACTGTGAACCCCCTTACTTGGCAGGGAAACTGAAGGAGTGGAGCCTGATCCTGCACGGCACAGCAGAGCACCCCTACACCACCTTCAGCTCCCACCAGTCACGCTCTCGCATGCTGGAGCTTGCCACACCAGAGCTGGAACCATCCAGGGCTGCTGTGTGGATTGCACAGCCAGAGGGCGCCGAGGAGGAAGAAGAGTATGCAGGTAGTGGATCTGAAGCAAGAGCATCTGGCTGGCCTCAGTGATGTTTGCTTTCCCACTGTCGCTCTTAGAATGTGGGGCTGCTCCTGGCAGGAGGGCGGGTGGTGACTGATGCCTTCTGGTTCCTGAAAGTCATAATAATGATAGTAATTTGCACTCACACAGCTCCTTCAATGCAAGGCCTTCCTAATATTTTACAGACAAGTAAGTATACTTCAAATCAGTAAGTATTCTCCTACTTTCCCAGTCTTGGAAACTAAGGTCTGATATTTCCACCCAAAACAAGGGTCTGCCCTTGGCTAATTGGTCTCATCCCCTCTTCCTCTTAGGCCTCATCTGCCCTTCACACTCACATTCAGTCCTTTGAAGTCACTGATGGGTTCAGGCCACTTAAGTTGAAACTGCAAAGACAGGATAGGAGGTACAGCTGACAATATTGAGTGCCCCTCCAAGGGCTGTGACAGAGACTTAGGATAGGAGTAAGACACTGTTCATAGCTACTGGTCCTGCATGAAAAACCCTCACCCCTGGCAAATCCCCTCACATCCTGGAGCCACAGCTGGGCCAGGCTGCAGAACTTGACCTGAGCCCTTTTTGTAATTTAAGTAGAAACTTTCCTCTGAAATTCCGACACTGTGAGAAACAAGTGTTTATGGTACTTCTGGTTTGTCATGGTCCCTTTTGGTAAATATTACAGCTCATGTGAAATGGTAGAGGCTCTCTCAGAAGGCTGATGCTCCGACTTACACAACAACTTCTGAAAACCATAGCAAGATGGAGCATTCTACCATCAAGCATAAAATACAGTCAATTTCATTTTAAAGTTCTCCCTTAAAACTAAGTATTGAATTGTGCATGAACTAATTTGTTCTGTTTCCCCATTATTTATAAAAGATAGCAAGATTCTGTAATGATAAATAAAGGACTGATTTTTCCCCAGCTTTACCTCGTGCATGGAAACCTAACTAAAATGTTGTTACATAGCTCCCATAGTTCTCCCATCTCCACTGAGTGTGATGGAGCAAGGCCAGATGAGACAAGTGGACCAGTAGCTACAACATGAGACCAGGCAAGCTGCAGAGGGACAGGGACAGGCAGACAAACCTCTGAGGACAGAGGGAGAGCACTGCCTGGAGAGCACATGGCATGGCTGATTCCTCCAGCAGGTCACAGGTCAGAGAGAAGAAAACCTGGAAGGTGGAGCACTCCTAGAACCCTGAATGGCAGCAGCTGGGGTCACAGTCATGCTAGCTGCAGACGTCCAAGGAGAGAGAGCAAGTGATTTCAAAGTGGACGATGACTTCTCCAGAGCTAGCACTCAGCAGGTAGACTGGGACCATGTCAAGATGGTGGCATTTATAGCTGGACAGAAGAGCTGTTGTCACAGATGAAGCCAGAGCTACACACACACTGACCTTTCATGAACTCTGCTGGTGCAACAACACTTGTCATCTCCTGGGCACCCTGTTCTCTGCAGTACCCCCACCTTCATGTCCCCTGTATCTGGGGCACTGACCCCTTTCAACAGGATAACCATTCTGGGCTTTTGAAAACTGGTCAGATGAGTAATGGTCATCAGCTAGCCACTCCCCACTTGGTTTCTGAGTTTTGTTTGCTTATGTTTCTTGTTTTTTGTATATCAATCATGATTTTGCTCTGCAAAGGATTTAAGGTGGTATTTTCAAATAAACCGTTGTCAGTGTCAAGGATGTACATGTTATTGTTGCAGTAACAGAGCTCCCCTGCACACAGAGCCTCCTGTTAGGACGATGAAGAGCCACAAAGGAAGGTAGTGGGCTTGGAGTAACTCTCATGCTCAGCAAGGAGGAGGAAGGACAGATGCAGTGCATGTCACCCGTATCCACCAGAGAAAGTGCAGCTGCCGAGAGGACAATGATGGAGTGGCTAGAAAGGATGAATTCAAGGACACTTCCTGGGCGAGATGACTTGGTGTTTGGTTTCTGGAAAAAATCCAAGTAGAAAGTTGTTCCTGGAGGGTTTGCAACCAGAGCTCCCCATACACCCTCCACCCTGGATGGGTGCAGAGCTCCCCACACACCTGTCACCCTGGATGCATGTGGTGGCCTGGCTTATGCAGCCCAGAACTGTGTCACCCCCAATCCTGCTGTGTGTGAAGATAGTCTTACACTGGATATTGTGCCCCCTCAACATTTTTTACAATGATTATTGGGTGATGGAGGAAAGGAAGACCCCAGATGAGATGGATTGATACAGTAACTGGGGCAATGGGGGTAGGTGTGTCGGAATCAGTGAGACTGACTCAGGACAGGGCCGGCTTCAGAGCTGCTGCACATTGAATCACTATGAGTTGCAGATGACTCAACAGCACATAACAACAACAACAACAACAACTGTGCAATGAAGAGGGGCATTTCTGAGGACACTCCCGCAGATGAACTGGAGTGAGGTCAAGCAAGAATCCAGCCCATCACAGTGAATGGAAATGAATCATCCAGAACAGCCTGGTGCCAAGGTGTGCAGGGAGGCTGTGGAATGGGGACGTTACCTAGGACCAGCACTATGAACAAGGAGACCAGCACTATGAACAAGGAGCCCAGCACTCAGCTGTACAGCACTTCCTGCCAGATGAAGTACAGATGGGTCACCCCACAAGTGAACACAGTCCTGAGAGGCAGGACTCTCAAAGAAAACTCTGGAAGGAGCAGCAACCTCTGGCAAAGTGTACTGACTGTAATGTAGAGATCACACCCTCTCCAAGATGAATCAAAGGCAGGGCTCTGCAGAAAGTCCTTATGGACCACAGAGAGTGGAGATGGGCTCTTTCCCACATGTCCCCATAGAGTCCAGGTGGCTAGGTAGTTACCTCTGCTGTGCTTCTGGACTCATACTACAGCCGCTCCAAAAAATGGGGACTTTTTGTGGATTCTTTTCTTCCAAAGGCTGAAAAGCTTTACTAATGTCCCATCAATACCTCTCCACTATGATCTAATAGCATTTTCCTTTCAGTGAGGTAGTCAGATCTCCCTGATCTATTATCTGAAGGGATGGGGCAAAGGTCAGGTGGGAAAACTCCACAACATCCCTGGACCCTTCTTGAGGTGTACTAGAAAGGACTAGGGGGAAGATACCCCCAACTGCAGACCTCAAGGAGGTTAGCAATGTAATAAAAACCATGGTAAGGGGTGGGAGGGGGGCCTATGGGGGACCTGTGTGAGGGGTGGGGGCCTGTTGGGGACCTGTGTGAGGGGTGGGGGACCTGTATGAGGGGTGGGAGGCCTGCGGTACACCTGTATGAGGGATGGGGAACCTGTGAGGAGGCCTATAGGGGACCTGTGAGAGGGGTGAGGGCCTATGGGAGACCTGTGTGAAGGATGGGGGACCTATATGGGGGTGGGGAACCTGTGTGAGGGGTGGGGACATGTGGGGGACCTATGTAAGGGGTGGGGGACTTGTCTGAGGGGTAGGGAATCTGTATGTGGGGTGAAGGCCTGTCCAGGATCTGTATGAGGCCTGTCCAGGGCCTGTGTGAGGGGTAGGGGACCTATATGAGGAGTAGGGGACCTGCGTGAGGGGTGGGGAGCCTGTTGAAGACCTGTGTGAGGGATGGGGACCTTTGTGAGGGGTGGGGGACCTGTATGAGGGGGAGACCTGTGTGAGGGGTGGGGGACCTGCATGAGGGACCTGTATGAGGTGTTAGGAGCCTGTCGAAAACCTCTGTGAAGGGTGGGGGACCTGTGGGGGGGAGCTTGTTGAACACCTGTGTGAAGGGTGGGGGACCTGTGGAGAACCTGTGTGAGGGGTCAGGACCCTCTCTGTAATGTACCTGGAAGAAGTACATACAGGAGAGTTCTGTGGTGTCTACAGTCTTTCCAGATTGTCTCTTCATCCCTTCACCAGTGATGAAGTCAGAATTGGGGCCGAAAGACCTGTAAGACCCTCACTGAGAGCAGAGTGAGTGGTGCCGAGAAGGAGATGTGCTTAGAAGGAGCCAGCCCCAGCATTGCCCCAAACTGACATCCTCCTATCACTCCATACTTGCCCAGCATTGCCCTACCCAGTTAATAATCACAGCCTAAATCCTGAACACCCTATCCTCTCTGTCTACTTTACCGTTGACAACCTCAAATCAGAGAGCCTGTCCCCACCCAGTCCAGCTCTGCTCTACGATGCAACCTTGTCTCCCCATCACACCATCTCTTCCAATTCTCACAGGTCCCCCCACCCCTCACACCCCCATCATGGTTTTTGTTAAGTGCCATTGAGTGACATGTGACTCATAGTGACCAATAGATCTGAACTCTGTCCTATCCTGCACCATCCTTATCCTCAGCACATTTGAGCCCATTGCTGCAGACATTGTATCAATCCATCTCATTGAAGGTCTTCCTCTCCTTTTCTGACCTTCTCTACCTTTCCAAGCATGATGTCCCTTTCCAAGAAATAGCTTCCCCTGACAACATGTCCAAAATACATGAGATAAAGCTTCACAGTTTTTGCCTCCAGGGTGCACTCTGGTTGCACTTTCTCTAAGACATGTTTGTTCTTTCAGCCATCCATGGGATATTCACCACTCTTCTCCAATACCATAACTTAGATGCATCAATTCTTCTGCTTATCTTGTCAATCCTTATTCACTGTCCAGCTCTCAGATGCATAACAGGTGATTGGAAAGACTGTGACTTGATCCAGATGCACCTTAGACTTTAATCAGACATCATTGCTCTTCATGACTTTGGAAATGACCCTGACAGCCAACTTTCCCAATGCTATACATCTCCCTATCTCTTGATTGCTGGTAAAAGGATGCAAACAAGATGAAATCATTGACAATTTCCATCTGTCATGATGCCTATTTAATTAGTGATGAGGATTTTTGTTTTCTTGATGTTTAGACACAATCCACATCCCTGATCCTTTGCAGCAAGTACTTTAGGTCTGAATATCATCTGTATAATGCAGGTTGTTGATGAGCCTTCCTCCAATTCTGGTGCCACGTTCTTCTTCATAAAGTCCAGCTTCTCTAATGAAAATGGCATAAGTATGGCAAAAGGATACAGCCCTGACACACACCTTTGTCACCTGTAAACCATGCAGTGTTCCCTTGCTCAGTTTGGACAACAGTTTCTTGGTCCAGGTATAGATTTCTTATAAGCATAGTTAAATGTTCTGGGATTCCTATTCTTCTCAAGGTTAGCCATGATTTGTTATGATCCACGCAGTCA